ATATCAACATTCAAGGACCATTGAATCTTTGACTGGCTGGAGAGCAGGGAAACTTGCTCGGGACTCCTCGTGCACAGAAGCATTCATTTGTTCATATACGGCAAGTGCATTCATTTGTTTAGCCGCCAAGGTGATGGGTCTCCCCAGACTAAGGTATTTATTTAACCTTTGGTTAAATAAAAGAATAACAGCACAGTATCAGAGCAAACAATAAGCTTAGAAACATTAGACACATTCCTGCAAAAGGGAAGGGAAAGGGGAGGAAATCCATGTATGGAGAACCAATTAAATGTTATAATTACTACTGAGTTCATTTTATATATGCAACCATGACTCTTAATTGTAATACTATGAGATAAGTACTGTATATGCAGCAACTGAGGTCTACAGAAGCTAAATTGCCTAGTTTTATGCATTTTCAGTTTCTGAAATTATGCAGGCTTCCTTAGAGAAGCCTCCCGTTCCTTCTTTTTAACATAACACCACTGTCATTCTCTAGTCATTTTCCCTGCACGTTCTTTGCAGCACTTACCACACTGCCAGACCTCATATGTGCAATGTGGTTGTCACGTTCTGTCCACACCTTCAACCAGCAGCACGGGTCCCTTGCTGGCCGTTGTAGCCTATTCCTGCTTAGAGACTGGGATGTAGGAGGCTCTCAAAAATTACCTCGTGACCCACTCCTAATCCAGGATTTCTTCTACTACAATATATTCCATTTCTATTGTATTGTACATCTCAGCTTCTTAGCATGCAGACATTATTTGTCCAACCTTCTTTTTGCCTTTCTTTTAGTCTTCAACTTGTTGCTCTCCAGCTTCTTCCAGAATGGTTTCTACTAAAACTAACTGGGAAAGATCATCCACAATTACCTGCATTATGTCAATTCCAACACCTGCTTCCCAGTGCTCATATATATATTTTTTTGGTCACTTTTGTCCTTTCTATACTTTTCCTGTTTTTATTAGAATTATCAAAATACACAAATATATAAAAATAGAAAATACAGAAAAGTAAACATTAAAATCATCTATTTCATCACCAAAGATAATCCTCCTGATCAGTTTGAAGTATGTTTTTTTACTGCACAGAGTATGTTCATAAATGGGTAACTTTTCTAATTTCCAACTTCATGACCTTTACTGCTTTTCCAATTCTTATGGCTTGTAATAGTTTTAAGTAGTAGGATTTAGGTCAAGTGATAGGTTTTCCAAAAATAACTTCTGTAAAGGACACACTCAGTCCCCAACCCTCCACCCCCATGTTCGGACCAGGGCTGCTCCTCCTCTCCACCCACATTGCACTGTGCTTGGTTCCATTATCACACTTGTCATTTCATATGGAAACACCCTGACAGACAATAACCCACCCATAATCAGGAATCAAGACTTATTAATCCTCAAGTGTTTAACTGGACAATACAATGCTTGCTCCTGGAAGGCACCAATAGATTTTTTTCCTTCACTTATGATTTTAAAATTAAATTATAACACTTGAAATACCTCAGGATTCTGAAATAATTTTAAAATGGATATATTTTTGAGAGTGAAAAATTTATACCTAGAGCAAAAGAGCAGAAAGCACTTTTGGAACTCAGATTTCAGGTGCACCCCAACCTTTGCATCCACTGCCTTTCTTTTAGAATCACACTATGCTGCATTAATGTCCACCTCTAAAATCACAAGATCATAATGATAACTTAGATCAGGCACACAGTTATGTGTTTGTTAATACTAATAAAATTTTACTATTGTCAATGGCCCCATGAGTGAAGGGTCCTCCGATCTAGTCTCCCACAAACCTCCTTGTTGTCTGGCATGATCCAGCCTTACTGGTCTTCAGGTATTGACATACATCATTCAGTTTCCAAGCTCTGGGTTTTCCACATGCTGTTCCCTCTGCTTGGAGGATTTTCCCATCTCTTTGTAAGGCTGGGTCTATTTTATCTTAAAGTATTCTGATGAAATAGTATCTCTCGAATGAGATGTTTCCTTATCTTACCCTCCCCTTCCCCATCACACACATGTTCCCCCTTATCCCGGAATGAGCCAATATCGTGTATGTACAGAGCGCTTCTGTTTATTTAGGGCCTGCCTCCCTGCTTCATAGGAACAAATATCACTGTTTTCTTTTCTTTTTTAGACAAAACTCAGTATCTAGCTTCTAAAGAAATGTTTGGTGTAAGACTATTCTCAACAAATATTTTTAGATGAATGAGTTCATGATTTCACTTGAGCCGCTCCTCATATAACATGTCCAAGTTTCTCACTCTCGGCACTGTTGACATTTGGGGCCATAATTCTTTGTCCTGTGAATTCTAAGGACATTCAGCAGCATTCCTGGCTTACACCCACTAGATGCCAGTAGTACCCACCAATTCAGACAGACAAAAATGTCTCAAGACATGGTGAAATGGTCTCTGGGGGGGCAAAACTGTCCCTGACTGAGGAGGATTGTTAAAGATCCACAATACAATAAGCTAAACAACGAGGGAGGACATCTGAGTTTTCTCTGCCCCTTTGCCTTTCAAATGACTGAGATTTTTTATCCTACAGAGATGTAGCATATTGGGAAATGTTGAAATTGGATCAGCCAATCTACATGGAAGTTTAAGTTTGGACTCCACTTTTATAATATTAAATAATAATAATAATAGAGCAACACTCACACAACTCAACAATATTGAGCACGTGATTACACTAGTGGCAGTTGCTGAGTCAAGTGCTTGACAGATATTAAATTATTTAGTTTTGTACCACTCTATGGAATATTCACTGCTATTCAGTTTCACTTAATTGACCAAGGTGAGAAAGGTACTATGTGAGAAAGACAGCATGGGACTCATATAGGATGACGCCACAGCCTGCTCCTAAGCTGTCCCACTTGACAGCCACTAGTCAAGCCACCAACCCTCATGTATCCATGGAATGGAAATGCAGTAAGTCTGAACTGAGAATTGATGTTAACTAAAAATACACAATGTATGTGGGAATTTCAAAGAAACATGGGGGAAAAGAATGAGTTAGTATGATAACATACAGTAGGTCAGTAAATAACTTGGTACAGGGTCCAATAAAAATGCTACTTAGATAATATAAGTTATGCTTTATTATGATTATTACCATTATTATTATTAATTCAGTGCTTTTATAATATGCCTACCAGATACCAATCACAAATTCCGACTTAAAAGGAAAGGAAATATTTATTGAATGAATTAATAAAGGTGTTATAACAGATAAAAAAATCATATAATAGATTTTCATTAGGCATTTTTTTTCACTTAATTAGAATTTTTATTTGCTTATTGAATGCACCATTTTTAAACGGATTGCCTTTAAGACACGTGTGTGTGTGTGTGTGTGTGTGTGTGTGTGTNATATATATATATATATGTTCCTGAACATTTAAAATATAGTACTCCTTTTAATGTCAGTTACTATTGATAAAATATTTTTCAGAAATATTTTTGGTCATTGTAGAATATGTAATTCATCAGTTTGTGTGTGTGTGTGTGTGTGCGTGTGTGTGTGTGTGTGTGTTTCTCCTGGATTTGTATGTCCATTTTCTTGGTAACCAGCGCTCGTTAGAGGACAATCAGAAATACACATAAAAAGTGAAATATAAGTTTTATGTAACTAGGAACATCTTTAGACCTGTTCTAAAAGAATTATAATTGGTTTTCTTTTCCCTGCCAATGTTAAATGTAACCTGGAGCTGAAACCCAATTATTCAAAAAGAGCATAAGCAAACACCCCCCTCCCTGTATTTTGGGCCAGACACCACAACAGCTGACCTGAGTGTCATGGTACCTGAAATATCTAACAAAAGAATCATCACAAATACATAAGCATATGATTAGTCTGTTCAATAAAATTCTACTTGACTTTCATAATATTTCCACACACATGATTTTAAATAATTCAATTCCAATCATGCACTATCAATAATCAAAGTTAGAGAAAAGTAGCATAGAAAAGAGGTAAAATGCTTTTAAAGAACTGAAATACAGTGAATCCTTAGACCATAGTTCTTTCTGTGAAATGACCTTTAGTGTAAAAATATAAATATCACAAGAAGCTGTACTTTAATACTTTATCATAAAGGTTCACCAGAAATTAGGGGATCAATTCAGAAGTTAATACACAGCAAATGCTAAAAATTAAGGACATAGATCATACCAGAGCCTATATTTTTATGCCACATTCCTAAAAATGTGGTCTCATCTTGAGTTTAGGATCTTTTAACTGTCAGGAAATTGGCTGTCTTGGAAGTATCCATAAACACCCAATAACCATCCTCTCTAGTTACACGTCTCTCAAATTTGTGTAAAAAAAGACAATAAAACCTGTGTTATAATGTCAGAAACTAATGGTTCTTAAACCATTCATGACCTATTTTGAGAATGTGAAGGTTAATTCTACAACACAAAGTAGATCTATAAATAGAAAGGAATACAAAATGTTTTATTTAGGATCACCATTCCACATACAGACAGATTAAATGCAAATCTGACAGTGATATCAAATGCAAATCCGATTAGTTTGTACAGTTCTCCCTAGGTAGCCCTTTCTAACATGTCAAATTAGATTTTTATTGAAAAAATTTACCCTCAAGTTAGAATACTCCTTATTAAATTCTAAGTAGAAATAAACAGATTTGTTGTAGAATTATGACTTACTTTGTTGTCCAATAAAACATTATTTCCTTTTGCCAACTGAAAGAAATAGTTTTAGATTACAATTAAAGATAAAGAGTATATATTTGGAGAGTTTTTGTAATCATAGATCTTGTGTTTGAATAAAATATGTCTGAAATATTTAATTTTTAATCTTTAAATAACAGTAAATTCATCAGCATATACACTTTTTTTTTTTTTTTTTTGTAGCACACTTTCAATGTGTTTTGAATTAAATGATTGACAATTGTTTTTGTTTTTTTCTGACCTTTTTTCACTCTAAAGCTTTTGCCCTGCAGAAAGACCATTAAAGGCAGCTTACTCTGGGGGAATCGAGGAGGATTGTCATTGACATCTGTCAGCGTGATGTTCACTGTGGTGGTCCCTGATAAGCCTCCCATCTGGCCGCCCATGTCCTTGGCCTGGATTACCACTTGATATTGCTCCCTGTTTTCTCTGTTCATGTTTGGTAAAGCAGTCCTGATGATACCTTGAAGGAAACAGAAAAGCATGTGTTATCTTCATTAAAATCTCAATTATTCATTGATTAAGGTCACACATTGCATGTCCAAACTAGTGACTTTTAAAAGACAAAATATGCTTTTGCTATTAAATTTTATTGTCTAGAAACTGCAGAAGTGATCCAATGCAGATATTTTACAATTTGTGTTGTTTTCCGATTTCCTAAAGAATACCCAATGTGCTGTATAGTCACCGAAACCCATATGTAAAAAACCATAAAAACAGGTATATTTTCATTAGCTCACTCACTCAATCGTTCAATTTGGAGTTCGTAAATCTCTAAGTGGGACATCACCACCCTTCTGGGAGTATTAATGTTAATGTCTGTTCTTTTTCTCCCACCTTTTTTCCACTTGTAAAGATCATAAAGACTATGAAACAGACAAACCGATTCAGGGCTCCTGACCTGTTTCAGGCTCCACAGAGAAATAGGGCTGCCCCTGAAGGATGCTGTAAATGACTCTGGCGCTGTTCCCGTAGGAAGGGTCATCCGCATCTGTAGCTGTGACTTGCACCACAGAAGTACCTGAAGTATCCAAACTCAGCTTAGTTCTGCACAGTACCAGAAGGAGGAGCAAAAGCACTGGTTTTCATGGAAGACTTGAATGATTTGGGGCTTTAATAATGACCTCTTAAAGAAACAGTGACTGAGAGTTTACAATTTGTGTTGTTTTTCTATTTTAGATGAAAATGATATACAGAGTTATTACAGGAAAACTCTGGGTTCCATTACATATTTATGTAGCTGACAAGTGCATTTTTATGCATGCAATAGATAATGCTGGAGTGTGTCAAATTATAAAAAATGCAGTCACTTTACAAATGCTCAGGTTTGATACTTAAATTCATTTTCACATAATAGATTTGTTTCATGTAAAGGGCATACCTAATCACAAAGGAGTAAGTATGCTCCTCTTTCCCCCTCTCCACTAATTAACTATAAAAATAATTAACATCTGCTCTAGAATACAATTTTATGAATAGATTAAAATTTAAATTTAGAAGCAATCCAAGATGATCCCATGTTCCATGAACTATTAAAAGCTATTTAATAAAGTTCAAGATATTTAGAAGGGCTTTATAATCAGGCAATTGGCAAAAGTCCTTGGGATTTAGTGAAGTAAATATTAAATAATAATCCCAGAACAATGCTTCTGAGAAATGCAGAGTTCAAAATTTGCTATCACAACTGTTACAAGAAAAAAAAATTGCTATTGTTTTATCGGTTTATATAACTTCTCCCACATCTGAGAAAAGAATCTATTTTACTAAATCCAAACATATATCTCTAAAACTATTTTCATTGTTTTCTGTTTAATTTTTTATAATCCTCTATTTTATAAAAAATTTAGTACAGTCTATGTAAAATAATCGGATAATCTCCTTAATTCCATCATTCATTTTGTCAAGATAATCCAGACAAACTACGCAAATGACTAGAGTATATATGCAGGGACTCTATATTATATCTATGTCCTAAATGTACTTATATTTGGGGTCAGAATACTACAGAGCTATTATCCAAATTCATGTGACAAAAAATTATATTTTCATAGTTTTCTACTGAGTTAAATGGTATTTTCTTGGCTTTTTGAGGAAAATACTTATTTGTATTGTAAGATTTACAAATATGTAGGAAGTAAAAAATGCACTGATTTTTTTTCTGACTTATCCTAACTGGGGATATTAAGTATGTATTTTCCGTAGGGAATCAAAGGTGTTTTTCAATGAATTGGTCAAAATATTTTAAGAATTTCCCGACGTTTTAATACTTTTTGAATACCATCTGAAATCTTGTAAATAACTTACCTACGACGGACATTTCAGGAACACTAGCTGTATAAATTTCTTCTGGGAATGTTGGCTCATTGTCATTGATATCATGGATTTTGATCACAAACTCTGACTCTGGTTCTACTGGCCTCAGAGTTCTTCTGTTAATAGCTTGTGCGCGTAGAGTATAAAAGGCCTTTTCTTCCCTATCAATTCTTCTTGTGGCGTGAATGTCACCTGTTTTTTCATCAATAATAAAAAGAGTACCAGCTCCGTCTCCAGATAAAATATATTTGAGTGATCCATCTCCTTTATCTTGGTCTGAATGAAGCTAGGGGGAATAGAAAAGAGTATATCCATGATAATGTCTGAAGGTATGTAATGCTGAAAGAATGCAAACGGTCTCTCTTGTCCTATCACTGAATAATCTTAGTTTTTGAAATGAGAGTTGAATAAGTATGAACACACTCATCCATGTACTGCAAACAATAGGACTAGCCTTTCGCATATTAGGCTGATTTTTATTCTAAATGGAAAAAAGCAATAAAAATAAACTAACCACAGCTCCCCCCTTTGCTTTGCTTTGCTTAGTAAATAACCGTTTTCATAGGCAAATAACTCCTGGCAAACAAATAAGTCATCAGTCTTGACATGCTGGTGTAAACATTGCTTCTCTCATTTTTTTCTGTGAGTGGAAAATTCTTTGGCTCTCATGTTATGCAGGAAATTCATCTCCTATAAACTTATTAGTTATTGCATTTCCATTTGGGGAATTTGTGGTATCTGAAGAGTGGTAAGACAGGCAAAGTCGTGTGAGACATAGCTCCTCTGTTAGAAACACCATGCATCGTTATGGGTTCATATAAAAGTGACTGCCCTACAAATATCTGTGGGGCTCAGAGCAAGAATACAAATAGCTGTCCATGTAACACTTGTCTATATATTTTAAAGTTATAAATTGAGTTAATAAACTATAAAATAAAATATGTTGTATCTAGCCTCCCACCTTGTCAAATCTATGTTCTTAACAACCTCTAACAAAAATTCTGTGCAAGAACAAGGCAATGCAGGGCAAGTCTTTTTCTCGCACCCCTGCCGATGCTCCCAACACTTACCTTTCAGAATCAAGTCATCATGTCAGAGAGTTTTGCTTGCCTTCAAGTAGACATCTCAACCCAGTACACACACTACTTTAATGCAAATAACAGCCCGGGGAGCCCAAGTGTCCTGGCAAAGTCCACCTTGCTCTTTTAAGGGATACCCATTACGCCAACTTTCAGAGTTAAGGGTGCATATAACAGTGGGTGAGTCTCGCCTTAAGGCGGCATACCTGAGAAAAGAGATCCTCCTTGGACCTAGAAGCAAGCTCAGGGATGTTTAAGTAGGAAATAATGGGTCCCAAGAATCTCAAGTGCTGTCTGCAAATGGATATTTGGGTTTTAGATGTAAATATCCATGGCTCCCATGGAATTCTTACCCGAAGAAAGGAACAGAGCATGACTTTGTAAAACACAATAATTATTCATTTCTCTTTAATTGTATCATCTTACCAATAAACACTGTTTATGCTAGGATCACAGTTTGATGACTTGCAATAAACAAGTATACTTTTTAATGTTTTAATTTTGATTTTTTATCAGGTAATATAAAAACAATATGTAGATTATCTAAATTTCTATAAAGCATTTATAATAACTTAGACATCATCGTGAACATGTTTGTTTAAATATTCATATAAAATGTAGTAATAAATTGGATAGGCAAACTGACCTGTAGCTTAGAGAATTAAAAATTGGAGATTAGGCGCTCCCTCCATGAAGCATATCTGCACTTGCACTTCCCAGCCCCCCTCCCAGGTTCATTACCATTACACTCCTCACTCCCAAGCTCCAAGGGCCCTTCCTTTATCTCTATATCTTGTTTCCTAAACCCATTTCCTCTATGAATTACTTCTTCTAACTCTGTGACTTTCCAAATAAATGTTTTCATAAAAAAAAAAAATACTATATTTTTCAATTACACAAAAACTATAGACATATTAACCTAAATAGGTTTGATTTTTGCTCTTTAGATGACTTGTATCAACACATATTTTCATCTAATTAAGTGTAAACATATCAAACTGATTATTTTCTATTTAAAATTAAAATAGAATTTTGTTTCTTTATTTAAAAATTTCCTTAATGGGAGCTTATGCCAATGAACATAACTGTAAAAACATTTTTATACAAACATCAAAACTGTTTAAATGAAATAAGTGTTTTCAAACATACATGCATAATATAATGCATTAGTAGTATTGTGGGGTATAAAAAAGCAGTCTGTTTTTTAGTTAATAGTTTGCAGTAATTAGCATTTAGCCACCAAATTTGGATCAGACTCCCTTTTTCTTTTTTTTCTGGACAAATAACTCATTCTTACAGACATCATGGATTAAAAAAAACCCCAAGTGGATATGCACCTTGAGAGAAAGATAACAAAGTAAGGAGACAATTTTTTGTTGTATTTTTCTCCATCCATAAACAAGCAAGGTTGAGAAGCTCAAGAAACATTCATTTTTGACTAGAAAGCTCTCAGAAGTAACTAATGACTGTGTTGTCTAGAGAAACACTCTCAAAAAGTCAAAAGATTGATGCTTTTTAGTAATTGAAATTGTACATAGTTGCCGGGCAACTTCCCAATTATATGGATGTGAACAACAGTGGTAATTTTCCAAATGGCAGCGATAAGCATTGCCTATTTCTTACTCTGTCTGGGAATCAAAATAACTCAAGAAAAAAATTATTGATAGTATCAATCAGCTGATCAGATAAAGTTGTGGTTTCTGGTAGACATAGACAGTTATGTTTATTATCTCATTGTTCAACAAGTTTAATTCAGAAATATTTCCTCTCATAAGGATCAGGTACTTCTAAAAGTAAATCAACAATTCCATTTTAGTTCTATGGGAGATTTGAACACTGTGTGTGATGGAACTTCACAGGACAACCCATAAACTACCCCACAAAAATGAATGAGGGTCTCCTCAAGTATTTAACACCTAAATTATTGATAAAGAATGAGACAAGGTTTAAACTTTGGAGATTTTCTTGCATTTTACAAGTTTCACATCTCCTGGGAAACACTGGATGACTATAGAACATAGATTCGGAGTAGAAAGGGAATAAGACATGATGGGCGTCATTAACACCAATTCTGCTATTTTATTCAGTTAGTCATAGACAAGAGTTGCTAGTATTGGTAAGATTTTAATGTTAAATAATGCTCCGCTTTGGAATATGAATCACAGCAGGATTTTTGCCTTCCCTTACACTACAGAGAGTGAAAATTAAATCTCACCTCCTGGGAGCTTCTGTTGGATTAGAAAATTGAACATGGTATCAGGGAATCAAAAAGATGAGGAGAGGAAGTTGGACTGTGGTTTTGAGAATCAGAAATAAAAGGATTTCTACCTTCTCATAATTAAGAGAAATAAATTAGACCTATGCATTTATAAGTTTTGGCCTAAAGATGCAAACTTAGAATACATTTTTTTTGAACCATCGGGGCTTACATAAAAGAAAAATGCCTTTTCTTATAGAGGGAGACACCGATCACTAAAGCTGGGGTTAGTCTGCCTAACCCCACCCCACAGCTGCCTTCTTAAATTTCTTTTTATTACTTTAATTACTTCTTCCTTTGCATACTTTTTCCACCCTCTCTCCCTCTTTTCTAGTGTGTTGATAGAACTTTATTTCACATTTCCACTCATTTGCCGAGTAATTATCAGGCGAATGTTAGTAGTAAGAACTGTAGCTTTCTTGTTACCCTTTGCTTTTATATTTGGATGTTACTTATCCACCCTTGCATTTATTGAACATTTAACTGAATAAAATCAGTTGTTTCTGTTACTGAGGAGTGGGATTATGGATTATGTGTCAAATACCTTACAGCATCTGCTTGGAAATAACTTTTATATTGATTTGACCTTGTGCTATTTTATTATGTGAAGCATTAAGTTTTCTTTAAACAGAGAAAAATGTCAGATTATTGAGGCTTTAGTTCCTGGGTAACACCTGTTCTTAGGTGTGAAACATTTGCGCCACAAATCTTTAAGAAGAATTTTATGTTAATGCTGACCTTTTCTTTCCTGGAGGAAAACCTATTAAAAATTCACAACCTGCTATGATCCTTGTAAATTCACAAGCAGATAAAGGACATGGTAAAGTACATGACAATTAATGAAAATAGAACCACCAGTGCTGTGCTGCACATTTAAAAGTCACTTTCTTAGTATTTAACTTTTTTTATTTAGATGTGGTTAATTATAACTCACTGCTTATATTGAGCAGTTTAATAATTAAAACTAAACGACCTATTGAATTTAAAGGCATATTTTAAGTGCAGATAATTCAATGAAAGTTTGATCATTTGAAATGTGGCGGGCTTCTGATAATTTTACATTTCATGTAAAGTATTCATCTTAAGATATTTGTCTAAAACAAATTTTATAACCTAACAGTGTTCTTGTGGTTTATGTAGTTTAAGGCCCTCTTTGAATTTTTTTTTTTTTTTTTTAATTTTTAGACAAAAGGAAGAAACTGAGAGAGAGACAACAGATTTTTTACGTCACAGAAGCTAAAGTAAGATTACACTTCAGGAGAGGTACTATGTTGGTGGAAACTTTACCTCTTGATTACCAGTTCATTTTTATTTTTCAGTTCCTCACATTAAATTAGAAACTATTAAAATCTATTTATGAAGTACAGGAAATTTATGTTATTTGTTACACAAAGGATAACCTATTCAAAATGTTACGTTATATTTTCACCGTGTCCAGAAGAAAAATGAAGAGCAAGTTTTAAAAATGAAAAACCGTATCTGTCAATTCTGCCTGTAAAAGTTTGATTACTAGTTCAGAACTTATATTGTTGTGTACTCTTTTTTATTTTTTTAATCCTCAACTGAGGATATTTTTTCCATTGCTCTTTCAGAGAGAGTGGGAGGGAGAGCGTGAGAGAATCATCGATGTGAGAGAGACGCATCGAGTGGTTGCCTCCCTCTTGAGCCCTGACCAGGAAGAGCCTGCAACCGAGGTACGTGCCCTTGGCCTGAATCACCTGGGACCCTTCCGTCCGTGAGCTGATGCCCTATCCACTGAGCCAAACCGGCTGGGCCGTTGTGTATTTTTTCTCATTCACAATATTTATACCTTTTGGATATTGGTAATTGTTGGCATTTGCTTATATTTCAAAAATGGATGAACACACAACAACCCCAAATCTATGGGACACAGCAAAAGCAGTCCTAAGAGGGAAGTTCATAGTCCTAGAGGCCTACCTCAAAAAGCAA